ATTTTTATTGATTATTATTTTATTTAGAGTTTTTTTTTCTCAGTTGATTTCATCTTTGGTTTTGGCTTGTGTTTTTCTGTCCTTCAGTGATTCTGCTTGTTAACAGTTGTTCATCAACAATTCTCAATCCTCCTTTAATTAGACACTTAATTGTCTCATTAACTTCATCACTGTCTAAGTGTTCAGCCCTCTGTAGTGAGGACACTAGTGAGGATTTTGCTCTGGAATTTAAGGCTTAAGTGTGTTGGAATGAAAAATACAGACTATGGGATTTGTTTTTAACAGAAATATTCTGGAAACTGAATTTACGAATGTAAAATGTTGAAAACAGCAGATTACTGGCAACCACTGCTGCCAGTATTTTGACATACATTTAACAGATGTTTTACACAATAAGAGTTTGCTAATTAACACTCTGGGTGTTAAAAATTTGAACACTTTCAAAAGTGTTATTTTAACACTTATAGTGGTTCCCATATAAACTCTGAGGGAGTGTTAATTTTAACTATAAGGTAGTTAAATCTATTAAATCTAAAATTTGCAGTGTGAGATCGATAAAAAATACAGACTGTTGAATGAGTTTTTAACAGAAATATTCTGTAAACTGAATTTATGAATGTTAAAAACAGCAGATTACTGGCAACCACAACTGCTGGTGTTTTTCCGTAAAATCTAAAAATGAAAAAAAAAAAAAAAGAAAAACAGCTAAACGGTTTTTGTGTCACCATTGTGGAGGATAATAGCGTCTCTGTTCAAGTCCAAGATGAACCGAGAGTATTTGATGTTATGCTGCATCTTCTTTTGTTTAAAGGTAACTGTGTAGTTACTAATGCAGTCAAAATATGTTTGCTAATTGCAATCACACATGAAAACATTATTGCATCTAAAGACTTTACATTTTTGTGCACTAAGCTATGATTTTGTAAACTGAACATTGTATTAGTTCATGAAATATGGTTATTTTTTGTAAATTTATACAGTTCTATAAAACTTCCATGTTTTTCACAGAAAGCTTCTGGCAACCACAGCTGCTGGTATTTTTTCGGAAATTTAACAGATATTTTACACAATAAGAGTTTGCTAATTAACACTCTCTTGGTGTTGACAATGTTAACACTTTCAAAAGTGTCATTTTTAACACTTATAGTGGTTCCCATATAAACTCTGAGGGAGTGTTAATTTTAACTCTAAGGTAGTTAAATCTACTATCTAAAATTTGCTGTGTACTTGTAAATTAGGTAGGAAAATTAATATTAATAATTCCTATTTAATTTCCAGATCTCACTTACAAAATATGCAATACCCTTTAAATATATTATGTATAATATTCAAAAGGCAATTTTCAGTTCATTTTAATTCAGTTCAAATATTGGCTTCCATAAATTCAATGGTTCAAATTTGACTGATAATATTGAACATTACATCCGGTAAGATTGCAGATTGAAGATCGCCAGCTGCTTTTTCACCAGCAGCTATGTTAAATTTCAGGACCTAAAAATACAAACTCTGGAATTCAAGTCATTAAAATGCATGAACTTGTTAATTTGCTGTACTATTTGTTTTCAGTTTGTGCTATTTAACAAGCTTTTTAATTCAATACTTTTGGCATTGATTTTGTTCCATAGATGACACTTCAAACGCCATGCAAAATGGAAAAACACTTGTCCCCAGCTATAAAGTCCTAAACTCTTCTGAAGCGAGATGATCCATATTTGTGTGAAAATACTGTTAATGATTATTAAATCTTTTTAAACAATGAACCACTGCTTACTATCCTAAGTACATTCATTTTAAGTAAACTTCAGCACTTTGTGAGTCCTCTGTTTTCACAACATTCATTTCTAATGTCATTGATTTAATGGGGCTTTATGGATTACGGTCATCATTGTTTGGCATTGTTTTTGAAGTGTCATCATTAAGACGGCAGTCTATTTGCATTATATAAACAGAGATGGATTATTTAAAAAAATAAATCTGTTTATTGCAAGACAGAAAATCAAAATCGGGGATGACATACTCGTAAATACAAATAATTTCTATTCTGGGATGGAGTGTCTCCTAAATAAATCAGACTCCTTAAAATTCAATTCCTGACCACAGAGCATGTCAAGCTTGTCAAAGCAGCACCAAGTTTACTTGTCTCTGGCCACCTTGTTTTGCTCTCTATTTGACATACTCTCAACCAATGCTGTCAGAATAGAAAAGCAGCCAGCATCCTATTTCCAGCATCAGTTTGTACTTGTGCTGTAAGCTTAGCTCCCCGTAATGCATGCAATGTTATACAGGGCGATCCTGTTCACCGGCAGGCCTGAACACCTATAACCCAGCCAGTTGTCTCTCTACCACTGCTGTTGCTCAGATTGGTCCCGAGTTCCTGCCCTCAGGGAGCTTGTCTTTCCAGAACTTGAGCTGTCAGCCGGTAGCCCACAGAAATCAGAGAGCGTGCACGGGATAGACCTGGATAGAGTTATGTGCAGGTGAGATAGGCCTCAGTAAGGAATACAGCGAAACCCTACCTTTGACACCTGACTTAATAGTTTTGAATGAAAAATGTATGAGCAACAGTCAATGTATGCCAAGCAGAAACTGTGATGTTAGAAATTAAGTGTCACAGAAAACAAGTGCAACATTGTCAAAAACTGTACTAATTTAATATAAAATGTCTTTAAATATTGTTGAAAAATACCCCTTAGAATATAATTATCTGTGGAATATCTGTGGAATTATCTGTCAAAACACTGACTAAAACTTTTTTTTGCACATTAGCTTGGCATTTCTGAGGAAGTGACTCGGTCTGAATTCCAGGAAGTATAATGTTTTTATTTATTATTTCCTGTCAATGCAAACTAACCAGTGCCCTGAAACTCACACACAGTGTGTGCATAATGTAAAGACACAGTAGCTGATGGCTCATATATCGACCGGTGCATCTCATTTCACATGGCAATAAAAAAGCAAAATACAATCCAGGTAGAAACTACACATTCAACCTAGTACATGTCATGTAATCATGTTTTGTACAACTACTTGTACCATGTTTTGTACAAATACTACACTATCCTTTAAATATTATGTGGTCACACCTTATTTTAATGGTCCGTTTGTTGAATTACTGTAAGTTCCATTGCATCTACATGCCAACTGATTCTCAGTGGATTATAAGTAGACTGTTAAGTTGAGGTTAGAGTAAGTTGGCGTGTATTTGCAAAGTTTCTTTTAGTCAGTTAATTGTCTGTTGAAGGAGCAGTAACAACAGATATTAAGCAGACAGTCTACAAATACTCAAACGGGCCATCAAAATAAAGTGTTACCTTTTATATCAGTATTATTTATTAATTCATTTACATTTTGTTTATGTTAAATGTTGATATTTAAAATAAAACTCATTATATTTACTGTTATCAGGCATATGGCAATTTATCAATAAATCATGATAATAAGCATGGACATTATTTATATAGTGGGCAATTCAAATTACAGTGAATATTTATTATTAAATTTGGAAAATTTGCCATTTTAAAAATATTAATATTGTATTTTTCAATGGTGTTCATAACAGTGACAAATGCTTGGAAATTTAATTGCTAACTTAATGGGTCACAATGAAATCTACAAAAGCTTTTATTGATCCTAGGTGTTCATAGTTGTTTTATAGTTAATAACTGTAACAAAATAATTTTTTTTTTAATTAAATTTTTTTTTTACAATAAGTCTTGCTTTAATTTTAATCTATTATCTAATGTTTACTAAGGAAAGTTTATTATAAAGAATTACTTATTGTACTTTAAAATCTTTTAATTTGGTTGAAACATTTGTTTACTCTGAACATGTATATATAATTAAGCAATAAACTAAGTATTTTTTGTTACAGTACCTGATAAAGTAACTTTTTTTTTGCAGCTTGGATCAATATTTTGAAATACTCTATATATTTTCATAAAAGCCTAACAAATGAATTGCAATCAAATAATTAGTTCAAACTGCAAAACCTAGCTGATAACCTGCAAAAACGTGTCACTTGCTCAAAATGGATAGCTCATTCCTCAAAAGCAAGTATTGATATCAATAAAGGTGTCATCAAGATGAAAAGTCCTGCCACCATTGCTTATCAACAAGATAGTCAAATGGCTTTGTCCTGCTTTCATTATGACGATTTACTCTGTACATTTCTTCCAATGCAAAAGTCAGATTTTGGTGACACTTCCTGAAAAATCCTCAAGACAGCAATATATACTATTTGCACAGCCATTTGAAAACTACAGTAAAGTTACACATCATTGCATTTAGTGAGGTAACTGAGTACAAGACACTGAATATGTATGTTTCACATTTTTACTGCATTTGCTCTTCACAATACTAATTTATTCACAGCATTGTGTAAAAGAATTAATACACACTTATTTACAAAAAAGAAAAACTGTAACTACATCATTTCATTTTATAAAGTTGACTGTTGGGTTTTACAGTGTGTTTGGGTAAAATGAAACCTCAAAAGTAGACCAACTCAACGTCTATAGTTAGTCTACAACCTTATTCACTGCAAATAAATCTGTCAAGACCCCTAGTAGTTTTACTCTCTGGGATACTGAAGCACAGACACAAAGCAGATATATCTCAGCATGGGTTCCCGCTGTCACAGGACCTCCTCTGCCATCTCAGCATCAGCCTGCCTGGAGCGCTCCCCTCAGAGGTCCATTTAGACCTGCAGGGCTGGTAATTCATCCATATGGATGAGATGGTCTCTTGTCGCAGCTGCATCAATGTGGGTCAGGCTGTCATAGAGGTGGCCTAGTTTTAACTACCTGTGCCACTTTTTTTACTGGGATCTGTCAGAGCTCCAGGGTAGGAAGGATCAAGGTGACTGAGTATGATCATTACGTAGTAGAAACCATAAATAATTTTAGGCAAAACTTGTTGTCACCAGTTTCGGTTAAGATTGAGATTGAGTTTGTGACCCTGGCGAAAATAGCACCATGCAATATGAATCAATGCAAGCTCACCTCCTCAATGTAACTCTCCATGAAGGATCCACGAAACATGGCTGCCATCCAGTCACAACTTGAGATGAGCAGAGGCTTGTGGGCTGGCAGATATCCGTCGTCCAATTGAAACACCACATCTAAAACCGGGGGGAAAAGAGCAGACATCTCGGCGTGTGTCACAGAGTCGAGGCTACAGAGGGGGAAGACAGGTGGACAGACAAACACAAAAAGACAGACGGAGAGACAGATAGACACACAGACCAATAATAAATAGACAGATTGACAAGGGTAAGGAGAAGAAGACAGAAAATGCGAAGGGAGGGCCAGACTGGCACCATATAGGGTGCCGATATTTTTTTAGAAGCGAATTCTTTCGAGACTGAAACGGATGACTGAATGTGATCACTGTCGCTCACCAATACCATTAAACAGCAGATGATGTGGGACAGGTTGTTCAGGAGTATGCTGAGTGTAATCAGTAGGGCATGATGGGAAAACGCACCTAATTACTATCAATTCAGATTTGTAGTCTGACAAGGAAAGCAAATAAAGCTCCAATGATTCCATTTATAAACTTCCACATACCCAAAGGGAATGTGCAAGAAATTGTCAGGCCACAATGGAGATGAAAATTGTTCTGGTTTTCAAAACATGAGAAGCGTCTTCATGGTTGGGTAATGAGATGACAACAAATGCCGTAAAACAAATAGGTGTAAGTTGACAGAACAGGAATGTTGGAAAAAGTTAATTATGACATGCATGCACACAACACACAAGACGTGGAAACAATGAAGAGAGAACCCCACCACACAGAAAGTGCAAACACATTCACAGTATGCAAATATTCACTGAAAGCAATGAAGGGACAGTTTAAAATACTGTAATTGACTGTTCAGGGCATGAACTGTTCTTTTCCAATTCCACTGGATTCAGGAATTGAGAAATAGAACTTATGAAACTCAAGTTCATTACTTTTGGAATGGTATATGCTGACAAGTAATGGATCTTGCTAACTAGAAAATAACACCAGAACCTTGTAAAGAATTAGCACAATTCACATTAAAACAGTTAAAGGAACACTCCACTTTTTTGAAAATAAGCTCATTTTAAAATTCCCTTAGTTGGACACCATTTTTTAATCCATTCAACCGATCTTTGTGTCTAGCAGGAGTCTATCAATTGGACTAAACCATTAGCATCTTGCTCAAAAATAACCAAATATTTTCGATAAAATTTCTATGTAAAGTTTGACACCTAAATGCATTGTTTACAAAGACCGACAAAACGAAAAGTTGCTCTTTTCGAAGCCTATTTACATAGGAACTATACTCTCATTCCGGCAAATAATCAATGAACTTTGCTGCTGTACCATGGCTGCAGCAGACAAAATCATATTACGAATCAAATAAAAATTGGCTAGCTTCTGTGTATTTTAGTTCAAACAGATACTGTTCCGGATATACACCAGGATATGCAGTAAATATGTTCTGAATGGTCCCTCACAGATGTCTCCTAAGTTGCAAAACATGCTCCCTGTGCAAGCAAATGGTTACGTTTGTTAGATTAACAGAGGCCACAGCCATATCACCCTGCAGGCGAAGACCGGTTTCTAACTGAAGCTAAGCAGGGCTGAGCCTTGTCAGTGCCTGAATGGAAGGCCACATGGGAAAACTAGGTTGCTGTTGGAAGTGGTGTTAGTGAGGCCAGGAGGGCAACTCAACCTGTGGTCTGTTTGAGTCCTAATGCCCCAGTAAATTGAAGAGGACACTATACTGTTAGCAGGCACAGTCTTTCGGATGAGACATTAAACTGAGGTCCTGACTCTCTGTGGTCATTAAAAACCTCATGGTGCATTTGGTAGAGAATAGAGGTGTAACCTTGGTTTCCTGACCAAATTCCCTCAATCGGCCCTTATCCATCATGGCCTGGCAATTATCCCCATCCACTGAATTAGCTCTATTACTTTCTCTCCACTCCTCCTATAGCTGGTTTGTGGCAAGCGCACTGGCGCAGTTGTTCTGTGGCCACTGTAACATCATCCAAGTGGATGCTGCACACTGGCGGTGGTGTGGAGAGACCCCCCCCCCCCCCCATGATTGTGAAGCACTTTGGCGCCATACATGATAAATGCTATATATAAATATACATTACTTACTAGAGGTTTGCCAATTGCCTGCATAATATCATTGTGCCTGCTGCAGCTAAGTTACACCAGCAGAGGTCCTTTTGTTCCATTTTCAAAGATTATATTGTTCCATTTTCAAAGATATGTTCAAAATGAGTGTTCCTTTAATTAGTAAACAAAATCAATGTGAATTGTTTATTAATTCAATTAGCAACAGCAGTTACTGGAGTTAGAAGTTAAAAACTGAACAAAAGACTTGATTCAGTTTCTCAGTGTAAAACGGTACAACAACAGATCATTTATCAGAATTTGTTACAGTTTGTCAGAAAACTGAGGCTACTTTGTCCTGGATGTTAAACCATTTTCAATAAAATATAGTTTGTCTGACTCTGTTGGCAATAAGATAGATATCTAATACAAGGTTGTCACTGATATGGGATTACCTACCAGCAAATGTGCCCTTGCTCAGGCACTCTTTGATGCGGTTGGCACGACGCACATGGAAGGCTTTGGTGATCTCCTGGTTCATGAAGCTCTCTCGGTTCAGCACATTAGCCACCATCATACGCAGGTCGAAGACCTCCAGAAGCTCAGCAATGGTGGCCACCTGCATTAGGTCCCCACGTCTCTCATCCAGATGACCAGTGTAAAGGTACTGCAGCACTGCCTGAAAAAGCCAAAAGAGGAGACAATCTGTAATGTGATGCTGCGGTTGACAATTTAAGGAGATTCTTAGAAAACATGCAATGACATCACAGGTCAATCGAAGTTTGTTCTTACCTGAAAAGGCCCTTTCTGAATGAGATCATCCATAGACACTACTGTCATCAGTCTCGGCCGACCTGTCACAGGGTCGTCCACCATCTCCAGGTACACTCCCAAGAAACCACGGCCCCATCCTAAAAGGGCACGGCCTGCTCCAAGGGTTCCCGCAGAGTACTGACCCTTGGCAGGCAGAGCGTTATCACTCTGTGAAGTCCTCAGTGAGCCCTGCTGTAACATAAGCAACCTATTCGCCCCTCTAGTGCCCCCATCCCCCTCCTTTTCAATGTCCAGACTCTTGGTTCGTCCAGCCTGTTCTTTGGCTCCTCTTCGGCTCTGCTCCTCTTCCTCGCTCCCCTCAGAGCTTTCCTCATGCTCATTCTCCATCCCCGCTGCTCCAAGGTCCATAGTGAACAGATCGTAGAACTTTGAGCAGGAAGTGGCAAGGTACACCTTGTGGGCGAAGACGCGAGTGGTTCCGGCCTGGAGAAGAAACAGGACATCTGCACACAGCGGCTGGCAGAAAAGAGAATCAGGAGCTTCTCCATCTGCGGGAGGTGGATCAGGGATGCCCACCACAGGCCGTGGCGGTCTGGGGGGAAGGAAGGGGGCTTGGAGGAGGGGGCGTTGCACTTTCTTTAAATGGGACTTCCAGAATTGAAGGTGGCGCCGAGAGATGAGTGCAGCACGGATAGCGTTGTCAAACACATCCTTCACACCAAACTGAGCAACAATGCTTGTTTCATAGTATGGAACGCCAAGTTCTTTAGCAACCTCGTGGCCTCGCTCTGGGGGCAAGATGTCTGTGGGTTTGATGGGTCTATGAGGGCAGAGTTAGAGTAAAAACATAATTAAAAAGAAATTGAGATCCCTGACATTCATCAAGGCTGCAATGAAAATAGTTTTTATATTTTATTATGTTTTAAATGTGATTTATTTCTCTGAGGGTACAGATTAATTTTCAACAGTCTATACACTCTCTTGTAGCCTTTAGGAATCATTCTAATATCCTATCCCGCTGTGCAAGAAACATTTCTTGGTTGAAAACAGATATTTTTCAGAGATTTCTTAATATACAGAAAATTCATTTATTTTAGAGACAATTTATAACATTACAAACAAATGTATTGTCAATTTTGGCTATACTGAAATAAAAACAAAGTGTTTACTTTTTGTGAAATAGGTATTTATATTTCAATGTAAATGTAAGCATTCTGACAGTTTAATATTTTGAATAAATTATAATACAATACATATGTATGCCAATGATGAGAGACAACATGGACCTCTATATTTACCTAAACAACATACAAGCAACATATATGTCATTATAGCAAATAGCCTTAATTTCAAACAACCCTATACTGTCATTTTAAAATGAACAAATAATTGCAGTTTAAAATGGAAAGAAATAATACAGAAAGTAATAAATAATGCCTTTATGAATATGAATATCGGGGGCCCAAGGTTAGCTTTAAAATAAAAATTGCTTCATATAAAAATATTATTAAATTATGGATTTCCCCACAAAATCTCTCACTTATAAATACGTCAGATCAGTTAAGAGTTTTATTCAATTAATTTTGTTTAAAGTCAGGACAAGCTATCAAATGCCAACTGAGCATAAAAACCCCAAAAATGTGCCAGACCCCTGTCAAAACAGAAGCTTTTGAAAACTTTTCAAGCTGCAAGTTAAAAATGACAGAATGTGTGCTCTGAGTAGGTGCAGGATGTGGTCCGTACTTGGCCAGAGGCCGCCTTGCCCGGTTAACAGCATCCAGATCAGCGTAGCGCAGGTCCAGCTGGCAGCCCACCAGGATGATCGGGGTGCGGGGGCAGAAATGCTTAATCTCAGGGAACCACATGGTGCGGACATGGCGCAGGGAGTTTGGATTGGCCAAAGAGAAGCACAGGACTACCACATCAGATCTGAAGACATACAGAGAGAAAGAATTCAGTCTATTTTAAGAGAATACATCCGAAGAAAGCATGTAACAGGCAGAGAAACTGGCAAACCCTGGACACTTATCGTCCTACACAGAGGCTTTAAAATGGACTGTGAATCACAGTTTTGGAACAAAACTGTGAAATGCACCAAACAACACTATACTGTGAGTGAGATACAAAGACTTGTATTATTAATGAAAATGATTTAATGTGCGATTTTACATATGGCACTATAATATTTATTGATCATAAAGATTAACCGTTAGCATTTTAGTCATTTTAACTGTGAAAGATTGTTCTGCGAAATGACAAATCACAGTACAGCCACTTTATTTAGGCCTAAACGACCTTTATAAATGACAATGGTTGTGTGTACTAACGCATGTGTGCCTCTCCAGTAAATATGCGAGCATGAAAGATGTTGTGCAAGTCATTAAGTATCTCGTCTGACTCAATAACCAGCTCTGGTCTAATAATAGCGGATGGTCTGACCATGTCATATTTCACAGCTGCGCTCACAACATGCTCATCATGTGAGACCAGCATACACAAGACTGACTAATGGAGCACCACATTGTTGTTGTAATGTAAACAGACTTAATCTAGTGAATTTCATCACAAGTACGCAGTTGTACTGGAAAGTGATCATGCACATGTTTATAGATATGACAATCCGTGTTTCTTACATGGCATTACTGAGGTATTTTATTTTTCTTTGATATAATCTTTTGGAAAATACAACATGAAGTAAAAATAAAGATGATTACAGTTTTGAAACAATATGGCTTCCTCAAAAAAATGACTTTGTTTTGGGGAACATCTTGTAGGCCCACACGGAATCACAGCAAGCATTGTATATTATTAAAAGATGTCTAACAGACGTCTAAACATAGTCATTTTGGCTAAAACAAGGCTACATTTGGGCTGTCAATAAAAATCTAATAGGCATCTAAGTATATGCCAAAACAAATAACGAGAAATGAATCCCAACACAAAGTTTGTCTAATCTGTCTATTTGACAACCAGTGTAGTTTTGAGATATTCTTAGATGTCTATTAAATCTTCACTGACAGCCCAAGTTTTGCATTGTTTTAGCCAAGCTGTCTACATTTACATGTCTATTAGCCATCTATTAAACAGAAAAATGTTTGCTGGCAATGGTCATTTTGGGCTGGGATTGCCTATGGACAACGTACGCTAGATTGGCAAAGCTCAAACAGCATTTTATACCACACAAACCCAGTGGTTCTCAACCTTTTGGACTTTAAAAGGCCCACTATTTTCTAACTGAATATTTAAAGCTTGCCCTTCATATATACATTTTACCATTTAAAATAAAAGTTCCAAAAATGGGGTTTATGCACTGATGCCAAACATTAGAAGAACCAAAGAGTCTGTCAGTGAACAGTTTTTAAAAGAACCAATTTTGTTACTGTATAGATAATTTTAATAATATAAAAGATATTATTTATTGCTATAAAAATTCTTTCTGGAATGGAAAATTTCTGAATGATGGCATAAACATTTCTACAAAAACGGCTGGTATCATTATGTTCTTTATAAAGATTTCAGAATCTCTTGATTTTTAGAGTGCATTTACATTGTAATTTACATTAGGATTTAATATTGATCAGAATATATCAGTGTGACTTAAAAGTAAATTGATGAATTATATATAATGTAATGTAATATAATATAATATAATATACTATAATATAATATAATTCTTGTTGTCTGTGTCCCTTTAAATATAATATAATATAATATAATATAATATAATATAATATAATATAATATAATATAATATAATATAATATAATATAATATAATATAATATAATATAATATAATATAATATAATATAATATAATATATTAAATGATGCTCCATTAGACATTTTCCCCTATAGTGGGCTTCAGAACTTTGATTGAGAACCAGTGAACAAAGGTGCAAAGAATTTTACAACCTCAAGGTCAAAGTCAACATCCTGAATCTCCTGAGAATGCTTGCAAGTCTATGTGGAAATGGGCCAAAGATAAGACAATTAAAAAACAAAATGAACAGAGCAACACGCATCCACAATCATTCACCATCTCTGAGCGCATAGTGTTGTGGGTCATAAAGGACTGTGTTATGTAATCAGTGTGTGTGGTGTTCAGTAGAGCTATGTGGAGCATGTCTAAGTTCAAACTCCTGACTGCGTGTCTGCTTGACTACACTGTAAACACACAGACACACATATCTAACATTGTAAGAACAGTGATAATGTAAACTGTATTATTTGTAAAAGTACAGTAATATGGTAGTCCCATAGATTTAAAAAATCCTGGTCTCAACTGTCAATACTATGATATTCTATCATACAGTTCCCTCAATGTACCAATCTGATGAAGTATATATACTATATTTTAGTTTATACATCTATAAATGTGATCTATATATTTATGTATAAACATGACTCAGCAAGGGTTTCCCCGCTGAGTCATGGTTCTTCTAGAGGTTTTCTTTTAAACATCTAAATATGTTATATTCTTTCACAATGTGCCTCACAGTTCTTTCACAATGTGTTTTGCCGATTTCTGTCTACAAATAATTAATGCAGAAAGTGAGACTTTGATAATCATTTTCAAGAAATGTTCAATGTGTCTGTGTGGGTGTGTATTTAGCTTAAGTAAAAGACACTGGGGGTGAAGGTCAAAAGATTCTGTTTCCATAACAGGGCGCCACCATTAATAGTGCTTTATCAGCTGACTACATCTGCCCTGGTACCACACACACACACACACGCACACACGCACGCACGCACGCACGCACGCACGCACGCGCACACACACACAACACAAAACACAACACAAACACACACAGACACACAGACAATACAACACACACACACACACACACACACGCGTTTTTCACACATATTGCTTGTTTTGTGCTCTCTCTCCTAAAATCATGCCACATTCACAACACTATTGCATTATTAATTTGCTAGATGATTTACACTTAAATAAAATATTAACTTTTCATGTTCTATTAGTATCATGTATACACTTATGTTCAAATGTTTGAGGTTAGAACTAAAGGAATGAAAAATGAAGTACACTAATCAAATGTCCCAGCAAGGCATTAATAAAGGTACAAAAGGCCTCAACATTTCACAAAATATTGATAATAAAGGAGTTTCTAGAGCACCCGGAGCCGGCGCGTCCATAGAGGCGACCTAGGCGGCCGCCTAGGGCGGCAGAATACAGAGGGCGGCATCCCCGACACAACCCTCACCCCTCACCACCCACGCCCTCAGTTATATCCGCGTCTAGGGCGGCGTCTGCGACACTACCCTCACCACCCGCGCCCTCAGTTATATCCGTGTCTAGAGCGGCAAAATAGAGAGGGCGGCGGCGTCCGTGACAGCTCCCTCGACACCCCCCCTCGCTTTCACTTTAGGGTTGAGGGCGGCATAACCGTCCTTTGCCTAGAGCGGCAGTTCAGCTTGCTCCGGCCCTGAGAGCACCTAATTAGAATGATTGAAAGTGACATTGAAGACTGCTGAATGCCTGCTATAAAAAGTTTCAAGATTAGACACAAGTAATAAAAAAAACAAATGCATGAAAAAATACATACGGCAGAAGCTTATTCATTAAAAAATATGCATTGTTTAATATATGCACCGTTATTTACTGATAGTTGATAAGCCAGCTCTGGGATTTCTGGTGAACTGTCAAGATACAACATTAAGAATATAGACTACTTGATCTATCCAAACTTTGAATGGGATCACACACACCTGACATGACTTGATGCACTAACATTCTTTTGATGTCCATTACATTAACAGTCCAACCACAAACATTAAACTACATCCTGTTTCATAATCACAATTTGTTGCTTTTGTTTCTCAGTTTCTTAGTTTCAGTTTCACTTTATAAACAAGGCAAACTATGATTGCATTTTCCTCCCTATCCGAAGATGTAGACATTTTCCATGTAATTTTCCATTTAAACAACTTAATTAAGTTGCTCTGGCTATTTAGCACTTTAACTAGAGCGATTTGGCCTAAAATCTCAATCTCGATTAATTGAACATATTAACTCAATTACAATTAATGAACGATTATTTTATTTATTTATTTATTTATTTATTTATTGGCCTCATCATTCACAGATAAGTTTTGTAGAGTAAATGTGCCCACAAATTACCGGTGAAAGATTTTTGAATTAAGGGATACTTGATTTAAAAAAAAAAAAAAAATGAAGAAAACACGCACTCTCCTTTTTGTGATTCATAATGAACATTAAAATTGAACAACTGAAATTAAAATTCACATAAAACCACCTAAAACCAACAGTCACTTTTTTCTTATAAAAAGTGAAAATTAATACCTTGCACTTTTGGAGACAAAATAAATTATTTTCAGTGTTTTTCATATTAAAAGTAGAAAATAAGGCTTGTAGTAGCCACCAATAACCATTATTTACCACTCAATTTTTTTCTTATTGAGGATTTCAAGTGCCCAATAAAAGATTAGGATGGAACACTGATGCATCTGACAAATTTATGATTTGGGGCTTTTGGCTTTTCATAAAATCTAAATAATTTTGCAGTCAAACGCAAAGGAAACATTGACAATACACTACTCTTTCTTTTATCACACTTCAATTTGTGTCTGTAAATTTCATTACATATTTTTAAAGGCCGTTTTCTCAAAAGGATTTTTTTCTCCTGCCCCTGTCCCTGAGCATACTGCACTTGTACATCTTCACTTCAACAGAACTTACAATTACACACAATTTTAACTGATACAACATTTTATTCAGCCAAAAATTGTAAAAGTTGTAATTTGCTTTTAGATTGTTTGTTTTTGGGCTGTTCACAGAATTTTATTTCAGGCTCATTATATGGCTCTAACATGGTAACAAAAACTTAAATTGATGTTCGAATTTTTCTTCCAAAACGGAAATAAATAAATAGCAAATATGCAAGTTCAATGATTGATGCATATTCAATGAAACTATAAACTCAATAACTTGTAACTAAAAAACAATATAAAACTATTTGCAATTCTTAATGACGTCGACCAGCTGGGGAAGTGCATTGATAACTATTAGCTAATTGTTTCACTCCGTTGACCTGGAGTGTCTTGCATGAATTGATTATTGATTACACTGAAAACTAGGTATAGCACTATCGATGCTGCTAAAGTGAATTGAAAATATGGCCTCACTAACACTAAGTGGCATTACACCAAAAGTCTTTTAGTTAAAGCTTACATTATTGCTCAAGTTCATAAAGCATTCCACGCATTTGGACAATTAAAATTCATTTTTATAATAAGCCAAGACCTAGCACAGATGGCCTGTTTCGGGTATATTTTCTATTTAATATCACTAAATATATATTCTATATATTCTATATTCTATATTCCCAAGTGAGTCTTAGATGTCTAAACACTTCTTGGAAGCACTGTAAGCATTTAGGAACAGTGTCAATCTCCCTCGTTCTCTGCTTGGCTCAGTGGCTTCTGTGATCTGCAGCACTGCACTGCCCTGAGCCAAAGCACCACTGCTGATCCACTGATCCTCCGCTGCCCTGTGCTGCGCTCAGAATAAGAGCCTTCATGCAGCGCTCTTTGGCTAGGCTTACAGCACATTACCTTCCCAGCTGGGAGGATTAGGGCAATAACCAATGCTTGGCAGGGCAACACATGCCTCAGCCAAGAGTGGAGAGATATCAAGAAAAAAAAAATGGAAGATTGATATTGCGGAACAAGTATTGTGTGTGTGTGTGTGTGTGTGTGTGTGTGTATGTGTGCGCATGTGGATATGTTTTTATATTCCAGTGCGGAGTTACAATTGGATCCACACAGACTCATGGGGACATTTGTCACCATTGGGACCTAAATTGAGGGCATGCGAGTATCAAGGGTTCAGTTCTGTGCCCCTGTGGTAAACACACATCCCATAGCATTTTAAGATCAAGACGAGCTTCATATTGTGTGACTGACCTGCCATATGCAAAGCGTCTGTCTTTGTGATGATCTCCAAATGTGTCCCACAGCCTGAGGGAGACACTGACCTCATCCACCACATCTCGGGACCTCTCCAGCACCTAGACAAAACACTTAAACCACTTAGTGAGGTTTCATTGTACCACTACATCAATGCAAAAACATTGTAATCAGATTTTATTAAGCTGAAAGTCAGTTGTTTTCATTTCTCATTCGACATTTAGTTTATTTAAAAAGTGTCATTAGACTATTAGTAGACTTTTAGCTTAGGGCTAGAAGAATAAGTCTAGTAAAACTAGACATATTCAACATTCTACATGCACAAGTAGATTGTGAGGTAAAGTCACCGATCAATAATAGATCAGTGGTGAAGGTATTACTAAAATAAACTTTTACGCAAATTTCTTATCTGCAAAGACAGTCTAGGGTTATTATGGTTAACTGAAAGTAAAATAATAAAATTAACATTAACTATAATCATTCACTAAAAAAGAATAATGCTAGCTTCATTAACATAAAATCATATATGGTTTGCCTAGATTGTTTGTACTGGTTTTTGTGTGCCGTTTGTGAGTCTGTGGGTCTGCAGCTGGATATTATTGGATTTTCCCGTTTTATTTTTTTCATAAATAGTTAAAACCACATGAGAGCGCCCTCTGACTCTCAGGGGATATTTACTACTGATCATAGAGTTGTGCTTCCCAAATAACATGTGCATAACAATACCAGCTTTGCTTAATCACATTTGCGACATCATTTCGAATGAATTACCAAGCCCTATTTACAACCGTTCTATTTTTACTCAAGTTTATAAATACACTGGTAAAACAGGCTGTAATCCATTGCCATGTTTATATGTACTTTATCTTTGTCACTTCACTGATTTGCCTTCTGACAATTGAGATGTACAGAATTTACATCAACACTTATTGCTCTTCAACATGTACACAATATGCCAAAGGTCTACCCACCTCCTGGCACACTCGGTATTGGTCGATGGCCCAGACAGTTGGCACGTGGGTGGCAAGCAGCTGGTACTGAGTAAGGGTGGCATTGCAGGCACGGGCACAAATCAGCCGGGTCTTGCCCACCGCGTTATCACCCACCACCACACACTTTATGGTCTCCACATTAGGTCGCTCATAATCTGTGTCTATATCCATGGAGAGGGCCCTACAAGAGATGGAGAAAGAAAATTAACACACTTTTCTAAAAACAAACACACACACACACACACACACACACACACACACACACACACACACACACATATCAGTCGGAAAAAGATAATTTGATGCATTCACATCGGTGACTCAAAACAACATCCACATTAATGAATGGTGTCATCAATACTGACTAGTCATTCGCCAAATGTTCAAAGTTTAAACTAAAATCTAGGTCAGGAGCTATTTCTGTCTGAGGAAGGAACTACAAAGATAGACAACACAATTCTGCACTTGGCTATAACGCATTTTTAAAGTGTGTGAGTTTCAAAGTCACTAACAAGTGCATTTTAAACTCTTTCTATTTTGGCGAATAAAAATTAAATTATCTGAGGTCAAAGCTTACGGGCAAATCGTTGCCTTGGAATTATGAGGTTCGATCTGGTTCCTGAATGATTTTAAAGTATTGAGCTTCAAGGTTTTTGCATTTCGTATAACAAACGATATGTGTGTAACAGTTCTCTTTCATACATTAACATGACAGAGACCCTAAATGTAGTCTACATGTAAATTATCAACATTCTCTTACATCTGTAAACTGGAGTACAAAAACAGGGCGAATCCAGACAGAACCTTTTCAGTCTGCTTATTGATTTAATAAAAAAATAAAATAAAATGGCGTTGTAACAATATGTTGATTGGGTACGCTAAATTGGCTGTAGTGTATCTGTGAATGAGTGTGTATGGATATTTTCCAGTGATGAGTTGCAGCTGGAAGGACATCAGCTGCATAAAACATGCTGAATAAGCTGGCAAGACATTTTGTTTTGGTGACCCCTGATTAATAAATAGACTAAGCTGAAAAGAAAATGAATGAATGAATGAATGAATGATGTTTTAGGATGAATATTATTTCTTGTTTAAATTGAGGATCCAAGGCTGTGCTAAACAGTGTGTCCAGTGCAGATGTTAATTTTATGTAATTAATATGGTCATATTTATTGAACTATATACTTTATATAAATTATTTTATGTTATTTATTGAATTGTATGCCTCATGAATTAAATTAAGTATTTGCACTTCAAGGCTAATATCAAATTTAACGACTTTTTAACAGACAAATATAGCAAAATTTAAAACCAGACAATGAGCAAATCAGTTGTTTAACAAAGTTTAATAAACACTGAAAAATATTTCACTGACTATATATACACACACAATCAAAAATATTTCACATTTAATATATTATATTTTTAGTAACTGTTACTTTTTGTAAAATTTAACATTTCATCTAAGTCAAAAAATGCTTTTAAATAATCACAAATTACACACATCTTTCCAGTTTCAGGTTTCTGCTCAATTTTGAGTGGTTTGACATCGTTTAATCGAAATGACAAGAAAAGCTGATTCTGATTGGTCCTCATGTGTGCTTTCGAAATGCTGTCTGGCTCACAAAAAGAACATTAAAGAGCCATAGAGTTTGAGTTTGTAGATGAAACCCTTTTTTTCTTTTCTTTTTTTTTAAATAAAACATCTTAAAAATGTAAACAACTTATAAAAAACATCACATTATGTAAATAAGTTGTCATCTAATAAGAATATGTCAATAACTCAATTTTGACAAAAATGTCAGATAAAAGGGAATCACGTGTTGGGTTGCGGCTGGTAAAACAGTCAGGTTGCATCTGCTGAGTAAAACATTGGCTGGATAAGTTGGCGGTTCATTCCACTGTGACAACCCCTGATTAATAAAGGGACTAAGCCGAAAAGAAAAAAAAATGAATGTCAGATAGAACCTTATAATTTGAATGTGAAGATTTGTTGTTTTGTATGAAAGAACACACACACCAAACAGCATTAATGCCACACTTTGCTCAGGATACCGAAACAAACAGCGTTAACACAAACACTCACATAAACATGACTTGACTACAGCTCTACACAGAGAAGAAAGAAAAAGACGTTTCTTCTGAGGGACGCAGATGAAATAAACCATTCCGAGACCTGCATGCCAACACATATGACGGTGACTTAATATCCATGACAACTGGCAAGTTTTCTTTTAGGTTCACACTAATTGCTTCATTCTGCCTTTAAACTATTTTTATTTTGCAGACATTTGTTCAATAGGCAGAACTACTTTGCTTCAGCAAGTAGCACAAATTTGAGCATGCACATTTGGCTCGTTAAATATTAATACACCACTATAAAAAAAGCAGCCGAATAACGTAATTACAAATGATTTGGGCAAATGTGCACCCACTTGGTCCTGAGCTGCACAAATCAATTAGCTTTTTAAAATTAAAATTCATTGAAAAAAAAAAAAACACAGGCAACACTCTAAGTGTAGTGCATTCTTTTGATCCAGCTAAAGTGATCCAGCCATCTACATTACAAACGTTCCATAAAAAGAGCTCATGAAAGATTAATACGGTCACTGTTTATTGTTCCACTGACAAAGACGTCACAGTTCGGGCCTCAAATGACATACTGGGGTCTAAAAGTGATTCTTGTTCGTTCAGCTCATTGTGAGGTGGCAGTTCTGACCAAGATTAGAAATATGTCCAAATTGTTAATTAATAGGTCAAGAGCCATTTATCTGGAGCATCAGTGCAGCACTAATTCATTATCAGAGGAACGTTACAGCAGGCTTTGAGATTTTGGATCAGAAAAAAAGCTTTCAGAAAGTGAGTGAAATGTTCTATCGCTGCTCTGGAGGAAGCTTCTTTAACAGGTTACATAACAATGGTGGCACAACGGGCTGATGAAGCCGAGCTGGAAATGTTGCTACATATTTGTGTTATCTAACTGCAGTCTTTATGGGATTCACTAACATTTATAGTGAATGCTATAAAGATGAAGATTACTATGATTGCTTAATCAAAAAATAACTATTATTTGTAAGAGTTTTTAAACCACAATTTCTTTTTCTTTGCATGCAAAAAATGGTAAGTGGGTATGGAGGTTATGAGTACACTTTGAAAAAGCAACCACAATGTTTTGTATCCTTTTACTTTAAAAGCAGTAACAATTATAAACTTATCAATTATTAATAACAGTAACAATTCCATCATGATTTACTTCAATGTTACGGTCATTGTTTGATGGAAATTATCTCTTTCTCAAATAAACACTCCAGAAGAACATTATTAGTTGACAATACCTTAACTTTCTATGGTTTCTAGAGCACTTAAACAACTTTAAAGGTGCCACAGAATGAAAATGGATATACCTATGGCATAGCTGAATGATCGAATTTTAATACATACATAGTAATACCGTGAGCATCAAACACTATTGTTTCCTTGCTCTCATGTAAAACCATGATCCACACGGGATTATTATGCACGTCTCAAGCAATCCTTTATTGGCCACAACATTTCCATTAACAACAATAATAATTTTCACTTATTTTTAAGTTTATCTGAGCTTGTATGATACTTACTATGTGGGACATTTATTTAGAAAAATAGAAGACTTTTAGGAAGTGTAAGCAGTTCTGATTCTTGTACACTTCTACAGGTTTTTAATGCATGTTTATGAATCATGTCATATCAGTTAGCACTTACTGTGATTTTTTTAAGTGAAAGGATGGCGAAAAAAAAAAGCTGTTCATGCGGAGGTCGATATTAACTCCTGTATTTGTTTTCCTATAACTTAAAACCAACAAATCCAACTCTAAATAGATCTCTCTTGTAGAGTAGAATTCAATTTTTTCTGTATTTCATTCATATCACAACCCAGGAGCAAACTAGGTTATTCTTCTGGCATAAAAACATCTCACTTGTTCCTTCTGGCAAAAATAAACCTCTACACCATCTCAGTTTTGTCAGATTGTTATTTAACAAGGAATCAACTCAAATTGTTTAAATATTTTTAGACAACAAAAGTATGATTATTTTGTATTTCAGACTACAACATGCTGTCTGTGTGTGTCTGTGTGTGTGTGTGTGTGTGTGTGTGTGTGTGTGTGTGTGTGTGTGTGTGTGTGTGTGTGTGTGTGTGTGTGAGCGTCAAGCATCATCACCTGATGAAGACCATGTCGGTCGAAACGTAGTGCTTTTGTAATTTTGACAAATAAATTTTTTTTGAGAGCTAAAGTGGCAGTGTGCCGATTTACTTTGAATCTTTTGCTACTTATGTTTGTTTTTTGATCGTGCACCTGCCTTCAAGATTTTTCTAGATGTGCGCACATTTCTGTTTTTTGAGCGTCAAGCATTGTCATGACATGTTGAAGCTTCACAGCAGAGCTCTTTAATATTCATGACCTTTTTAAATATGGTCATAACTAATCATATAAAATTAGGGCCAATTCCTAGGGTTGAAAATAGTGAAGCACCGATATGGATTTTTTGGCTGATATCGATTACCGATACCTTTTACAATTTGGAGGCACATAACAATATATAGGCTGATAAATTTAATATTTCAAAATGTTCTACTTTTATACAGTAAAAAAAAAAATATTTTTAAAAAGGTCATTTAAACGGATCTTATATGAACTGAACAGTTTAATCAAAGCAAAAAAGGAATAATTAAAAAATGTCTAGGTGATTATATAGACCTAGTCACGATTTCACATAAATCAGTATGCCAAAAATATATTTTTTTCATCGCATAGCAAATTAACTTGCAACTTGACTGTTGCATAAAAAACAAAAACAAAATGGGATTCAATTGTCAAACAAGTTAAATTAATGTATTTTAAATGAAATGAACTAAGAACTGAAACCATCTCAACCCAGTAGACTTACTGAGTTATTAATGCACAGCAATAACACACAAAGATAGAATGGACTTTGAAGGAATTAACAATGTGAGGAAAGCTCCGTTATAATGCACTGGACAAGTCCGAACAAATTCGACTCACACAAGCGCAAGGCAGGCAGTTCTGTAAAATTACGTAGGCCCCGTTTACACTAATACGTTCTAGTTTTAAAATGGCGTTTCAGAATAAAAACGATCCGCTGGATTTCATCTCACTGTAGTTGTTAAATGTAATATTTAAT